ATTATAATTTAATCTTATTATTATAACAACTAAACAACGTAGCACAAATGGCCAAGGCAAGTGTTGAATGAGTGGGAGGACCTGGGTTCGATCCCAGGTCGCAGCATATTTTCTTTATTTTCTTAACATGTGATTGCAGATTCCATGCATTACAAGGCCAGATGTTCATCATGCACCCCAGTGATCCAGCCACTAGATCGTTGTCAACGCATATCCAACGTTCAAACCAAGGAAGGACCATGGTGCACTCTTCAGGCACAGCAACACTGAATCAAGCGCAGAAGTGGGCTCAACCATAATGGGCCTGGATAAATTCAGAAACGCACCCCCCTATTTGCTTATCATACAAGCCCAAATTCTATTCTTTTTTTATTTCAATTCTTTTTTATTACTTATTAATTATATCTTTTTTCAAATAACACAAAAAATCATGATTTTTTTTTAATAAAAAAATCATAAAAACATCAAAATCATTTTTTTTCATAAAAATATTTTTATTAATTAATTAGTTTAATTAAATTTAGGTAATTTAATGCCTTTTTTTATTATAATTCAAAATAATTAGAATTAAGGTTTAATTTTGTACATAACCTAGTTTTTTCCTCAAAAATAACATAAATATTTTCTCAAATTAGATTTTTTTAGGTTGTCCAATTATTTCCCGCATTTAATTCGCCACGCGCACTTTTAATTTTACTTTTTATTATTATTGTAATTGCTCCGAGTTTGTAATAGATTTAAGTAGGGTTTTAATTCCGCATTTTATTTTCAGTCAAAAATAATTATGTATCTGCCCAAAGCCTTGTAATAATTAGGACTCTAACTTCTCGCATTTTTATTTCCGCAAACTATAAACTGCTTAGATGTATGTATAGGATTGTATGGAAAGACAAATTGAAATTAAAACAGTAGGAAACCCTAATTGTGCAAAGATAATTAACTGAAAAAATACACTTGCACATGCTCACTCATAGGGTTTACTCCACTCCGGTTGCCTTTGATAAACGGTCATGAAGTATAGGGAATGTTAGTGATTGTCCTCTAGTCCCAAAAGATCTAAAATGACCCAATCGGATGTTGCCTCGGAAAAAGATCTTTAAGGCTTTAGGATGATTACTAAAATTTCCTAACATTGCTTTTGTGATCGTATTTGTCCCTTCAAACGTCCCTTAAAACTCCAACGACGGTGCTACCTATTCCTTGATAATAGGATAGCAATGTCTAAAGGAAAACGAACAGACTTTTTCAAGTAGGTAGATTAGCTCATAGGTACTTGCTCAAACAAAACTTTTCACACAAACACTTTTCAAAACAATTTTCAAAACAACTTCGTCACACTCTTGAGGACTGATACAAGGGTTATCACGAAGTAAAACTTTTCCAAAACAAGCACACACAAGCAATTTTAAAAAATGAGCAAAGTAACTAAGATCCCATGGAAAACCATGGATAGAAAGGGTGCTAACACCTTCCCTTTCTATAATCCACCCCCCGTACTCAGAAACATTCTTGAAAAAGGTTTTTTCTGTTCTTTTTCCTTTCCTTAGTTGGATGAAATAAAAGTCGGTGGCGACTCTTGGTTACTGCGACATTTATGAATACCAAAATGCAAACTAGTATAACAGTCGGTTCTGCCAGCGTATCACACACATCATATCACTTTATTGTCCATGTACATTACAGAAAACGTCAAAAATGGAGACAACAAATATGGTGACAAAGGAAGTATATATTGGTATGTGATTATAAAAACCTGAAACATTCCATTCTATTATCAACTTCATTGTCAGTATCATAAATATATAGTTGATCATATTGGGGAAGTTGTCCTATTTTCGGTAGTAGAGTACCAATTCGATGACAGGTTTGACAGTGCAGTCTCAAAGTAGGTGGGCCTCCTGTTTTTGTGTATGTTGTGTCGAATTTCATTCCCGAAGACGTGAAAGAAAACATTGTGTTATATGTTCAAATGTTGTTATGGCAGTTTTTACTATTTGGGCATGTTCCATTATAGAGAAGATGTCGCAACACTGGTGGTGGTTTCTGAAGCAAGGGTAATACAACTTTTCCACCGCGACAACAACGAAGAAACTTTAGATTAGTTGGTGTTTTCGGTTTGCTACCGTATTCCTTATACCACATACATGATTGACAACTTTCACATTATCATGTTTTGTCTCCTATGTCAGAATAGTCTAAAAAGTAGAACAAAAGAATGGAATGAAATTGTTTAATTCATGTTGTGGGTTCAAAGTTGAACATCAATGGTGTTCTAAATAGAGTTGTTGAGGTTTATAAATAAAACAACTACAATGAAGAGTTATTCGATAAAGAATCAAAAAGCCATATAATTATTGACGTACAATAATTATATGAGTTGACAACTTAAATTGTAATATGGAACATACCTTGTAGATGAGAACCTATTAATGGTTCATGCTCCATTTCAGACTCTACATCTAAACCATCTCTCAAGCTCATACTGTTGCTGGAATTGGAGACTGCATTAACTGAATGATGTGATTCAGGTGGTATATCAGGTGCTACATGGTGATGAGAAGCTGGAGTTCTTGAGGTAGAAACGTGATTTACGGTATGATTTGTCCGATCAACTTGACTGATACTTTAGAGCAATGTATTTGCATTTCCAAATAATGCAAAATTGTTGGAAACTAGATGTTTATGGAGACTTATATGTGATGTCTCAATGTGTGTCATATTAGATTAAATTGATGAAACTGGTTTCTTCCGTGCACCAGTGGATGGAATTTATGGAGGAATGTCATAGATTGGATGGGTCCCCGTGGAAGTTGAGGCGTTTGCAATATTACGTGTCTTTTTCCTTTTATCCAAAATTAGCTTCCTCCTCTTTCTAGTAATAGTTGAATTAGAACGATCTCTGAAATATTCATATGCAGCAGAAAAAGAAGTTGGTGCATTCAATCTAATCGTTGAAACATAAGGTGGTACAGAGGATGAACAGTTAGGGGGTGTAGAGGAAGTAGGTTAGTTTGAATTCAAACGATGATGTGAATTCCTGCGTGCTTTTAAAATGACTCTCCTTCTATGTCTAGCAATGGATGATTGAGTGGGATTGGTTTGAACATAATCTGGTAGCATGGCTTCAGGAAAAAGTAATGTACATAATAAGTGATTGAGAGATGTTGGTGTTTGTGAAGAAATGATAGATAGCACGGGTAAACCAACATACCATGTGAAACCGAATACCAGGAATAAAAAAATCTGTAGAAAAACACAACAGCACAAGATTGCATTTACAGAATGAGGAGGCAATGAAGGTTTCAAAATGACATCACTGTATAAACTCATGTAATGTTGGAATTGACTGTTGTAGTGTAGAAAGTAAGAATATAAGTATAATATAACTGAACTTGTATAAAAATCCAAAAGTTTGGAAGTTATGAGTTTAAGTGGATAGGGTGGTTATTAAAAGTTGCTAACTGTATTAATAAGTATATTAATGTGTGCAGTATTTCACATGAGTGGCAATTTGGTGAATTTAAAGCAATACTCGTTGGTTTGTTACTTGGTATTCTATTTTCGATAATTACATCGAAGGATTGAATATCCTAATCAGATCTTCTTCACAGATTTTTGTTAAACAGTCGCAATGATACGTTGAATCACATGTAACCACAGGTCCATGACATTAGTTGTGATAAGATTTTCTAATCTATCAACATCAAATACATATGACAAATGTGATTGAATTTTTGAAATATAAAGTTTATGATGAATTGGTTGTTCTGTTAACATTATTCATGTTTAAGTGCCATATGAGATTCAGTTCACAACATTGCAAATGCAGATGATATATAAAACCCAGTCAAAGATACTAACGCCTAAAATTAAACATAATTTAACTTGTTTGTTTTTCGTATACAACACATGAAATAGTGGTACATGTAGAAACATGAGCTGTTACAGATTTCTGAGAATAGGTACTTGAATCGTTACATGATGTAAAGAGAAATGTAGGCAATACAAATTACATTATTATTATAGTAACATCATGTATTGTTGTGATAATGAAAGAATAAGCCTATGAAATTATTTGTAATAACATAGCCTAATGTATTTACATCAAAGACAGATCACAAATGTGATTGAATTTAGATATAAACAGGTTATGATGGATTGGTTGTGTTGTTAATATTAGTTATCTTTAAATGCCATATGAAATTCAGTTCATAATATTGCAGATGCAGATGATATATAAAATCAACCGAAAGACACTAAGGCCAAAAAAAGGAGCATAATTTAAGTTGTTTGTTTTTCATATATAACACATGAAATAGTGGTACATGTAGAAACGTGAGATGTTACAAATTTATGAGAATACGTACATGAAGCATTACGTGATGTAAAGAGCAATGTAGGAAATACAAATTACATGAATATTTGAGTAACATAATTATCCTAAATTCTATAATACTAGAAATAAAGTATGCATCATGACATGATTATGAAGCCTACAAAATACTGTACCACTCCAAATAGTGTAAGGTTTTCCAACAGATACAAATCTCCACAAGCATCTTAGATGATAACCGTATTCATTTGACGGGAAAAACTTATAACAGAATCTGAATTTAGTGTCTTGTCGACAATGTAGATCTTGGAAGGGTTCTGCAATTGCTGCCAATTTCCTGGAGCCTTTATGAAGAGAGTTCTCTGCATATGTTGGGAAAAGGCTATGTTTGAAAGTGAATTTACTGTTATGCAAGAGTATGCAGATTCAGAACATTGGATTAATACCTGCTGCTCCATAGGAGTTATAATAGAGTAATAAATTCCAAATATAATCATGAAATACAAGGACAACTTAATGGAACACAAGTCTAATTTTACAATTCCAAGTTGAAATGGAAAAAAATATAAAAAGGAAAGAACGGTAATTGTTAACACAAACTCAAACTAAAAGCAATGAAGACACATAACAAACTACATCCACGACTAATCATTCTTCTCCAACTTGATTATCTTCTTAAGCTTGTCAGAAGAGATCTCTCCATCACATAAGCCTTCTGAGGTTGTTGATTCACTTGAACACCTGGAAAGTGTCTCTTACCAGTAGGTGTTATTGGATTCAGGTTATGCTTAGAAATGATCTCGAGATCCTGTACACAATGAATGAGACGAAAGGTTTTATTTTATAACATTCAGACAATGTAAACTTATGCAGAAACTGGAAGGGAGACTTAAGTTATCGTTTCCTTTACACATTCTTCAGGCGCATCCATCTTGGCCTCATCCAAATTCTAATTAATCTAAGCATAATATAAAAGTAATTGTAACATGTAATATACCCTTATAACAACAACTATAATAAAACAAAGGAATAACCAAAAACTCCAATGAGGTAAAAACCTGCAGAGACTCAGATGTTATAGAGGGGGACCAGAACAACTTCCTTTGTGCAAAAATTAAAGTATGGTCAGAAAAAACATGTAATACCAAAATAAACAAACAACCTAAAATACACAAACCATGTTTGGAAGATTATACCTCGACTATGTCCCATGGAGCCTTAAGCTGCTTGATAAAAGGCTCGTCCCTAAAGAGAATCACAACAGAACAATTTTTCCAACGCGGCTGCCACTTGACATTAAATGCCATTTCCAAGTTCAGCAGTTGATCAAGTGCCAATGGGAATTCCAATGGATCATTAATTCCAACCTATATAACAAAGTTCAACAATGAGTATTAATACTTTACAAAAATGCATATATTGTGGTGTGGGGAAAATCACTAAGCCTAGATCATAGTATGACGAAGTTGGACAACAGATAAACCCAGAAGAAGCTCACATTCTCTATTCCAAAACACAAAGTTACAACTGTTGCCCCCATGGAAAACCTCAATCTCTATCTTATACCAACAATGTCGTGATTAACGGATATAAGAAATAGAATCACATAAATACATAAAAATAGCTTTCACGACCACTACATATATTAAATGAAAAGTAATAAGACCTAAAGATTTCAGCATCAGTTGAATGACCAACATCACAGTCAAACGGAGCAGTGTCACCACGTGCAATACAAGGACACAAATGGCAGGCACAATAATACCATCCAAACGGAGATGCCACCAGAACCCTTGATTTAGAAACAATAGTGCAAATTGTGATATGCATCAAAAGTTCATCACATAATTATCAAATGACAAAAAAGAAGTGACCAACACAAATGAATAAAATATAACAGCAGCAACCAAAGTGTATCATACATCACGAAGTTTGACAATTTCACCGAGAGGAAAAATAACAACACTTGAGAGCAACTTTTGAGCAAGACTGAGTTGTGTTTTTTCAGAGCTCTGCGGTGAAAGTTGTGAACTTGAACTCGGTTGTCCAGAGACAGTAATGATAGAGTCCTTAGGCATGATGCATGGATAAGTGAATTAGAAAAATATTCACACAACAACATGAGAAATCCAACATATCAATGGATACCACAGACATTACAGAGAAGATACCGATCTATGAAATCTTTGATAGGAGCAAAACCAGCATCGAGGCAGAGCAGCGTGACATTATATGTGTTTGTGACCGACAACGGAATAAACCAACCAACCCTCTTGTTTGACTTTTGCATACTGCAGCAACAACACAGTCGGACCAGAGTTATTGCCATGATCCTGTGTGAATTTTATAAACTGGTCGACATACGATTCCTAGAGAATATAATTCAGAGTGTTGTTGCTAAAGATTTAATACATAACAGTCGGTTAACAAAAGAAATTTAATATTCATTTCATATCATATATGATATAACAACAATGGCGAAAGTAAATATACACACCTATGGTCCTATAACATCATATTAACCTGTTATTTTTTTAAACCCGACTGCGTCTGAGAATACCCAATACTCTAAACCATTCAAATGACATCTGCCAATAAAAAAACATCCACGTAAGAGAAAAACAATATATCAAATTCTAATGCGCGACCAAAAGATGAATAAAGATGTTAATTTTTTTTTACCTATCAACACATCCTTGTTATAATTGTCAGTGATTATTTCGGAAAAATCAGTAAACACCAGCGATTCCACATGTATCTCATGTTTGTTATCATCCCAATAGACATTCCTTCCATAAACTTGAGCATAAACTTGTGCGACGAATGTCTGAAAGTCGACACATTTGCCTGAACCTTAAAGTTGGTTACAGTATAATTATGCCCCAGCAACAATTTTTCATCAAACACAGACATATGTGTCGTCGGGACAACAACATGTATATCATCGCCCTGTGATGCACACAAAAATAATAGAATATCACAAAACCAACCATTTAATAAACAATGCACAGGAAATTATAAAAATAACACAATAAGAGACGAAAGTTTTATAAACAACATAACACAGAAAAACCACTATGAAGATGATCCAGACGCAGAGAAAACAAATATTACCGCTTTGTCCATAAAAATCATTTCAAAATGCTCTTTGTTGTTAATCAGCATATTCCATTTATAATGAACCCTGATTGCAACCTTCCATAGCTCTTTACCGTCATTGATGTCGTGGATTTTTTCAATAGTCCTTATCATGTTAAACCGATAGGAGTGGGGAGATGAAAAAACGATAGGGTTTGAAACAGGTGAAGATGTAATAGAAGTTGAGAGTATGAAAGGTTATAAAAAATTGTAGGCATGATGACTTTGGAACGATTGAGGAAGTAGTTGAATGGGCAACCGTTTAAACATTTCAACATTGTTTATGGAAACAGTTACAAAATAGATGATGAATAGGGGAAGGTGGAGAGTGAGGTTAGGGGAAGGTGGAGAGGGAGGTTAGAGAAGCCTAGAAGAATATACACATTTGTGTTGCTTTTGAAAGAAAACAAATTTGAAATCTCAAATAACATATCCACATGTTCTGGTTTTAGAGTAAAAGGACAAAATTGACTTTATGGATAATATATATATATATATATATATATATATATATATATATATATATATATATATATATATATATATATATATATATATATATATATATATATATATATATATATATAAAATATGACAAATACAATGCATATAGTATAAAAAAAAAAGGGTAACTTACATAGTTCGTGTGAGATGCATACTAGATTAGTTAAACTTTGAGAAGAGTTTGTGATGGTAATTCTTTTGGCAATTAGAGTTGTGAATTGATCTTGGAATAAGACTTGTTGTGACATAGAACAATATAACTACTTTAATGGTATATAACTATTGTTCAAAATAATGAAACACCGTAATGACAAAAACGAAAAATCATTTTTGGAATAGCTTACACATAATAGTAACATGGCAGGGATGTTAAATTGGTTCAGTAACCTATCAGTAGATATTTTTGATTTTCAATGTGGTTTGGAGTGTTGTGAAAAGGAAATAATGGAATCTGCAAATACAGTATAGCTAGCACATGGAAAAAGGAGAGAATTAAGGAGCAAAACTCCAAAGCAATTATGAAATGACATACAGAAAACACTTTAATGGCAGACATGTTAGTCTGCTTCAGCTACGTACCAAGCATCCACCGTTTGAGTGTCCAATTAGAGGATGAAGTAGATTGTGTTATGTGCTTTGGAAAGGTGTGTTTAAAGAAACTGTGGATTTTCTGCAAAATTATTATAGCTATCGCATGCAGAAATAGACAAAACATTGTTCCCAGGTTGGTTTGTGTATGATGTTGAATAAACATTAAATATGTTAGTAATAAAGTTTTACATTAAACATGGTAGTAGGAAGGACAAAAGTTTTAGTAAGTTATTAGTAGCAATTATGTTTTAGTTTATGTTTTAGAATTGTAAAAGTTATTTAGGCCTATAAAAGACCAAGAGTGTATTTTATTTTATAAGAGCAATATAGAAGTATTTCATAAAGAAGTCTGATCATTTTATAACAATTTGGCATCAGAGCTCATGGCAAACATGATGAATCAAATGTCGTTGCCACGGCTAACGAAGTCTAATTATGAAAACTGGAGTATCCAAATGAAAGCTCTTCTTGGATCTCTAGACGCGTGAGAAGTGACCAATGATGGGTTTGAAGAACCAACAGAAGTTGGGGGATATACGGCAGCTCAAACGAAGACGTTGAAAGAGACGCGATCGAAGGACAAAACGGCATTATACATGTTGTTCAGGGTTGTAGATGAATCAGGTTTCGAGAAAATTGTTGGTTCGACTACGTCGAAACAAGCGTGAGACACGTTAGAAAAAGTGTTCAAAGGAGCAGATCGAGTGAAGCAAGTTCGACTCCAAACTCTTCGTGGCGAATTGGAGAGGATACAGATGAAGGATACAGAAATTGTATCTGACTACATCACACGTGTGCAAAAGGTGGTGAATCAACTCACCAGAAATGGAGAGACAGTACCTGATGCACGAGTTGTTGAAAAGATCTTGAGATCTTTAACAGACAAGTTTGAAAATATTGTATGTGCAATAGAAGAGTCGAAGGACCTTTCGACGCTCTCAATCGAAGAGCTCGCTGGTTCTCTCGAAGCACATGAATAACGAAAGATGAAAAAGAAAGAAGAAGCAGACGAAGAAGCAAACCAAACCAAGAAATCGAACAAAGACGAAAAGGTACTCTTTTCTCACAACTTTCGAGGAAGAGAACGTGGACGTGGAGGTCGTGACAGTGGTCGAAGTGGTAGAGGTAGTAACTTCGAAAGAGGACAATCGAGCCAACAAAATTGGCGTGACAGAGGACGTGGTCAAAGAGGTGGTCGTTCGAATTATTCCAACTTCGAATGCTACAAGTGTGGGAAGTATGGTCATTATGCGAAGGATTGTAACTCCTACAAATGTTACAACTGTGACAAAGTGGGACATCTTGCAAAAGACTGTCGAATCGAAAAGAAGATTGAAGAAACAACCAACCTAGCCTTGGAAGTTGAATCGAATGAAGGCTTTCTCCTGATGACTCAAAACGAAATCAACACCAATGACAGTGTTTGGTATCTTGACTCAGGAGCAAGTAATCACATGTGTGGTTACAAACACCTGTTTAAAGATATGAAGAGAATTGAAGATGGTAATATGTCTTTTGGAGATGCATCGAAAGTGAAGGTCGAAGGAAAGGGCACAATCAGTTACTTGCAGAAGGATGGCTTGATTGGATCAATCGAAGATGTTTACTATGTACCAGATCTCAAGACCAACATATTAAGTCTGGGACAACTTACAGAAAAAGGTGCTTCGATACTGATGAAAGATCGAACACTGCATTTGAAGGACAAAGCAGGATATCTGATTGCCGCTGTCGAAATGGAAAGAAATCAAATGTATAAACTAAACCTTGAGGAACATTCGAGAGAAATGTCTGCAAATCGAAGTGCAAGACAAAGCGTCACTATGGCATATGCGCTTTGGTCATCTACATCATGCTGGTTTGAGTAAGGTTGGCGAAAAGGAACATGGTGCATGGACTACCAGACATGGATTTCGAAGGAAAATTCTGTGAAGAATGTGTGCTCAGCAAACAAACAAGAACCTCATTTCAAAGGAAGGCAGAGTATCAAGCTAAACATATTCTCGAATTGATACATACTGACATATGTGGGCCAATCACTCCAGAATCCTTCAGTGGAAAAAGGTACTTCATTTCTTTTATTGATGACTTCTCAAGAAAAACCTGGGTCTACTTCCTGAAAGAAAAGTCTGAAGCATTAGAAGTGTTCAAAAAGTTCAAAGTAATGGTAGAGAAGGCAACAGACAGACACATCAAAGCAATTGCGATCTGACAGAGGAGGTGAGTATACTTCAATGGCCTTTGTGAAGTACTGTGAAGAACAGGGCATAAGGAGATTCCTAAATGCACCATATTCACCTCAACAAAATGGTGTGGCTGAAAGGAAGAATCGAACTATTTTTGACATGGTTCGATCAATGTTCAAAAGCAAGAACATGTCGAAAGAATTTTGGGCAGAAGCAGTACAATGTGTTGTTTATATTCAGAATAGATATCCACATTTGAAGTTAGAAGACAAAACACCACAAGAAGCATGGAGTGGACAGAAGCCAACAATTTCTCATCTCAAGGTATTTGGTAGTATAGCTTATGCACATGTACCAGATCAACGAAGAACAAAGCTTGAAGACAAAAGTCAGAAGTACATATTCATTGGATATAATGAGAAGACGAAAGGGTACAAGCTCTTCAATCCCATAAGCAAGAAAGTGATTGTGAGTAGAGACGTTCGAATGAACGAAGCAAGCAAGTGGGACTGGAACAATTCGACAGAGGTTGTTGACACAGTCGAAGAAACAATTGTAGCTGTACCAACAAGTATTCCAACAGAACATGAAGAAACTGAAGATGAAGATGAACCTCTACAATCCAAAATGAGAAGTTTGCAAGATTTGTATGATTCAACAAGTGAGGTGCATCTTGTGTGTCTTTTGGCAGATGCTGAAAACATCAGCGTCGAAGAAGCGTTACGAGACAAGAAGTGGAAAAGTGCCATGGACGAAGAGATTAGAGCAATCAAACACAACAATACTTGGGAGCTAGTCGAATTACCAAAAGGAAGTCAACCCATTGGTGTAAAGTGGGTATTCAAGAAAAAGATGAATGCTCAAGGAGAAATCGAAAGATTCAAAGCACGGCTGGTTGCGAAGGGATACAAACAGAAAGCAGGAATTGACTATGACGAAGTGTTTGCGCCTGTTGCAAGAATGGAGACAATTCGATTACTCATTTCTCAAGCTGCTCAGTTCAAATGGCCAATATTTCAAATGGATGTCAAGACATCATTTACTTGGCTGTCGAAGAAGCAACCTATAGTAACACTTTCGACGTGTGAAGCTGAATATGTGGCAGCATCCTGGTGCGTCTGTCATGCAGTATGGCTCAGAAGGTTGATAAGCAAGATGGAGCTGAAACAGGAAGATCCAACAATAATACAAGTGGACAATAAATCAGCTATCGAATTGGCAAAGAATCCAGTGAATCATGAACGAAGCAAACATATTGATGTTCGATTTCACTTCATTCGTGAACATGTGAAGGAGGAAAGTGTCGAATTAAGGCATGTAGCAAGCAGAAACCAAGCAGCGGATATTTTTACAAAACCATTATCAAAAGAGGTCTTCGACAGAGGCAAGAAGATGATAGGAATGCTGAATGGAAGAAACATTTAAGTTTACAGAGGAGTTTTGTTGAATAAACATTAAATGTGTTAGTAATAAAGTTTTATATTAAACATGGTAGTAGGAAGGACAAAAGTTTTAGTAAGTTATTAGTAGCAGTTATGTTTTAGTTTATGTTTTAGAATTGTAAAAGCTATTTGGGTTTATAAAAGATCAAGAGTGTATTTTATTTTATAAGAGCAATATAGAAGTATTTCATAAAGAAGTCTCATCATTTTATAACATATGAAACAAGAAATATACATTTACCAAAGCAGTCTTTTATGTTTGATTAGTATTGAATCAATTTGAATGTAGACAGAGATAAAGTTCAACCCATTAACAAACCGCATATACAACTAATAAGATCACAAAGTGTCTGAATCGGCTGACACAAACCAGTTACGGTATATACGTAGGAAAGTGTTTTTGAAACTCTGATAATGGTTTAGCACTTTGAATCTAAATATAAATAGAAATATAACAATCGTTTACATGTGTTGGAAGTTTACATTGACTAAAGCTGTATAATTATTATCTCTTTCTCGTGCTTTTAAGGACAAAATGGAAGAACTTCCAACAACTTCCTGCATAAGCGCTTCTCTAAAACGCGATTTTTTCAGATGCGATTCTCACGGAAGGTATTCACCGCGAAAGTGCTTTTTCCCAAACGCGATTTTGCAGTCAGATAGCTTCTTCGTAAACCCAAACTTTATTCGTAACCTCACTACATCGATTCAGTCGCATTTTGGTTTTGGTTCAGAACTTCTTCATTTCAGAATGTTTATGGTTTAATGCCTTTCTACCGTAAGCTTCACGATTTCATGCTAATTTTGGTTTCAATTGGTTTCTCCAGTTTTTTGTTTCGGTATTGGTTCTTAATTATGTTAACACTATCATGCAACATTATGAAGGTAAATGGAGGAATGTTTACATGTTAAAAATGCAGAAAATACAGTTTTTGGTCTTGTTTGCAAGGTGTTCGATAAAATGTCTCAACTGTATCTCTTGATTTTTTTTGCTTCAATTCTTTCTTCATGATGCTGAGTTGTTGTACTACTGGTGTTGTTGATTTATAATCCTTTGCAGTGTGTGAATTGGCGGAGAATTCTCGTCGTTACTACTGTTTTACAACTTACTACAAAATGTTTCAACCAATTTCTTTCCTCTTTTCGCTTCTTTGTGATGCTGAATTTCTTTTGAATATGATTTATATTTTTTACGTGGCAGCTTAATTTCTGTTTAATTTCATCATTGTAAGCAGACTACATGCATGAACAAGAATGGAGATTGAAGCATTAGAAGTTATACTTATGGACGAATTCTAAGGTTTTTTATGCTAATTTGTGTAGTTTTATGTACAACTCGCCTAAGGGAAAACAACTCCTCTAAGCAGGATTGACAAAAAAAATGTTTAAGATAGCAGTTTCCAACTATCCAACTCTCCCTCCAGAGTCAATGAAATTGACTCGATCTTCATCAGCATCTGAATTTGAATCATATATATGAACATGATTCTTCTTCAAGGATTTCACCTCTATCACATATGTTATCTCTGTCCAGGATACTCCATTTGATGTTCCAACATTTATTGTAATGTTGAACTCAATCTTCTTAGAATCACAACTCTTATCCTTGTTGGATTCCAACAGAAGAATCCTTTTAATACCAGCATCTCTAGAATATCTACCAATTATTGAAACGCAGCAAAAGAGGATGTTGAGGTAGACAATATTTAAAGCCAAGGAGAATTACTTTGATTGTAATGAACCCTTGGTTGTAACGATGATGCAGTCAAATGTAACTGTTGTTGGAAGGAGATAAATTCTTCTTGAGAAACAGTGCACCTTTCACAATAGGAGAGAGACATGTTCTTGTTCAACTTTTCCTATTTTCAAAACTTTGCTTGTTGACAATGTTACAACATTTGAAATGACATTCTTCATGTCGTAGGAAATGCTTTTTCTGAATCTGCACACTTCACAAGGATAATAGATGAAACCTTTTAAACAACTTCTACCAAATATATTGAGTAGTGCACTACCAAAAATACCCTTCATCTTCTCAATGTAACTTGCACTTCAAGTTGTGAGAGTATTTCCTAGAGACACTCAAACATACCAGTTATAAGATTGTCGTAGTTTGCTTGTAACAAGACCCTTGACACAATGTTGACTTAAACCCATGGTTTTATTCCGTGAACAGAACATAATCCTTGAGTATCTTGATTGTATTGACTTGTCATACTATAATGACATGACATTCAGGTTGACATGGTACTTTCTTAGTAATCAACCAAATTGAACACATCTTTCTTCAGTAAAGTACCTAATCTTCAGAATATATTAGGATTCAATTAATTCTAATCTAAGAAACAAAATTGTTCCTTAAAACAAGAATATCCTCCAATAATAGAATCTTCTTATGACTTGGCCAAAAGCTTCTTTCTCCAAGAAATACAATCATTATGTATCTCATCTCTGAAATAACTAATGATCTCAGACTAAGATAAACTCCAAATAGTGAACTCCCTTTTTGACAAAAAGAACTTTGTCTTCTTGAGAATTTTCCCATTCAGCGCCTGTTAGCCTTGTAGAATCTTCCATAATATTTGGAGTAACAAACTACTGATATGATGTTCCAACATCTGGTTGAACATCAGTTCCTATCTGTAATACAGTGGGAGAATTGGCTTGATTTTATGTTTTATCGCAAATGTTGCGGATAACAAGAGTCGCCATCGACTTTTCTTTTATCCAATAAGGAAATGGTGAAAAGTACAGGAAAGACCTTAAAGATTTTGAGTTCAGGGGGTAGGTTATGAAAAGGAAAGGTGTTAGCACCCTTTTCATATTATCTATGAGCTCTTAGTCGCTAGCTCACTTTGTTTTGAAATGCTTTGTGTGTATGTGTTTGAAAATATTTTGAAAAATGCCTAAGTACGACAACTTTGTAATGATTCTTATATAATTTAATAATGCGTACAAAGTGTTTGTTTTTGAAAATATTTCAAAAGAAGTGTTTGTGAAAAAAGATGTTTTTTGTGAGCAAGCGATTACGAGCTATCTACCTACTCAAATGTCTTTCGTTTTATTTTCCTCCTCATTTAGATAGTGTTATCCTACCATTAATTAGTAGGAAGCCCTATCATTGGATGTGAAGGGACAGGCGTAGGGTCTTCGTTATGGTCATAGAAGGCAATATGTAGGGATACCTTATCAATTTAAAGGGGTTGTCATCATGTATTCGTAGGAAACATCGAGGGACAAGATCATTTCTCGTAGGCAACTCGAGGGACATCGCAGGACTATGATATTTATGATGATTTTAACCGAGGGTCTTTGCTAAGGGTATTCCTACATTCGAGGGACATGACCATTGTTTTTCCAAAGGTAACAAGTGAGGTTACCCTAGAGGGTGCATGTGTGAAGAGTGGTTCAATTCAGTTATAAATCTTGTAATTAGGGTTAGCTAACGATTGGTTTTATATCTTTCCATACACGCCTAGTTACTATACAGTTATAAGGAAAGCGGTAAATTGCGGAAAGTAAAGATGCAGAAAGTAAATCTAAACTATTATAGGGCTTCGGGAGTGGGGGTACAAAACCATAAAACTTGGGGGAAATAGTAAACCATAATTAAGACTATTACAAACCGTAGCAGTTACATAATTGGGAAAATAAACTAATGTGAAAGTAAATATGCGAAGCGGTAAAATAAGGGGAAAAGAAAATTGAAAATCATTTTGTGATCGTTTGATGATTAATCTAAAAAAACCCTAATTGATTTTAATTTAGAAAAAAAATTAATTGATTGAAAAAACCTAAGTTGATTTTAACTAATTAAACCCTAAAAAATATGTTAAATTAATTCAATTAATTTAATTAAAAAAAGAGAACTAATTTAATTAAGTTAATTAAAATCTAAGTTTAAATTAATGTTAATATAAAATTTAATTAAAATGTGTTAAAAAAAAGTTAAAGCAAAAAAAAAAGATTTGGGCCTGCCATAAAGCAAACCGGGGGTGCAAGAAGAGAAAATCATTATGCTCAAAACTGCAAGCCCAAGCTCCTGTATTGAATCCAATGTGAATGGTTCCAGGAAATTCATCATGGTCTAGTAAATCTGAGGCGTCAGATCTGAGCTTATGGAGATCTGATGGTGATGAGATAAGGAGCACAGTGGACACACGGGGATTGGCTACGCTAGATCTACAACATAATAAAGATGTGAAAATAAAATACCAGGGGCAGGGATCGAACCCGTGCCCTGGTACAACAATGCCTTATCACGCTCGCTTCTACCACTGAGGCCGTTATACGTCCATTTATATAAATCAAACAATAAGCATAAATATAAAACACGATTATATTGACCGGAGAGGCGCCGGAGTCCTATCTCCAATCATCTTCTCCGGCTGCCCTCTTCCAATCAACCTGCAAAATAAACATTATTAGGAAGCAAACAATACCCTACCCCCTAAATCGAGAGCTATGAGTTCAATGGTGCAATCGTTTTGGACTGAAAAGGTCTAGTTTTTGAGTTATGATGCAAGCAAAGCAAATCAGAGCAAACATGAAATTTTGTGATTTAGAATGCATGTGACCTCCACGATTGTTCTATTCTGCAATATTGGATCTCATGAACACATAACAAACATTAGTAAGCGTTAGAACAAACAGAAAATCAAGATATTAACAATCTCTCAAGATGTTGAATAATGGATCTGACACATTAGATGAAATTCTTCAAGTGGAGAGAGTGACAGGAGACAAGAGTGGTCTAGGGTTTAATGAGAAAAAGGAACCTGATTCAGAAGAACCTTCATTAGATTCCACTCATGCCAAGTCTAAACCAAGGATGTCGAATCAAATGCATAAACATCATGGCAATAAAGGACATCATGGAAAGAAAAAGTTTAATCACACCAGAGAGAATTCCCAGCCCTGGAGATGTCATCACTATGGAAGGCTTAGTTATATAAGGCCCTTATGTTTCAAGTTGTATGGGTATCCTAAGACTACTCATCCTCCCAAGACTGATAAAATTCCATAAAATAGCAAAAAGAAGAAACATTGGATTCCCAAGTCTAATGTTGTTGGTTTCATAGCTCACACCTCCCTCAGAGTATCAACCAAAGATGACTGGTACTTTGATAGTGGCTATTCTAGACACATGACATGTCTCAAGAATCTGTTGGTGGATGTCAAATCTTATTCCACCAGTTATGTGACTTTTGGTGATGGATCAAAAGGTGAAATCAAAGGTGTTGGTAAGCTTGATTATTCAGGAATCTCTAAGCTTAATGATGTGTTACTTGCTAAAGGGTTAACAGCTAACCTGATAAGTATAAGCCAATTGTGTGATCAAGGATTCAAAGTTAACTTCACCAAGGAAGAATGTCTTTTTTGCAATGAAAATAATGAAGTTATTATGAAAGGAATTAGATCTAAAGACAAATTTTATCTATGGGTTCCTCAAGAGTTGAACTTATCCTCAACATGTGTTTTAGCCAAAGAGAATGAAGTTAAACTATGGCATCAAAAATTGGGGCACTTGCATCTGAAAGGTATGAAAAGAATTATATCTGAAGAAGCAGTGAGAGGGATTCCTAAGCTCAAGATAGAAGAAGGAAGGGTATGTGGTGTTTTCTAGATTGGAAAGCAGACTAAGATGTCACATCAGAAGATCCAACATCTTACTACATAAAAAGTTTTGGAACTTCTTCACATGGACTTGATGGGACCTATACAGGTTGAAAGTCTTAGTGGAAAGAAGTATGCCTATGTTGTTGT